ACTGGTGTTTCTGCTGGCGCTGGTGCGTCTGAGGGTGCTGGAGTTGGCGCTGTTCGAGCTGGAGGTGCTGCGGGTATTGGTGCTGTCCTTACTGGTTCTGGAGGCGCTGCGCGGCCGCAGCCGTACTTCGTTCCGCTCCTTGAGCAGGTTCTTGGTCTCCCGCCCTCTACTGGTCCTGCTCCTCCCTTCGAGGGTCCACAGCCTGTCCAGACGCAGTCACAGTTACCGCCCGCCTCCCCCCTACCTGCTCCTTCTCCCTACACTGGTCCTACTGGAGGTCTTGCTGAGCGTCGTGAGCCGGCGTCTCGTCCCGCGTCGCCTGTTCGTGCTGCTCGCACTAGTGGTCGTGCTCCGCGTCCGCGTCCTCCTTCAGTCCCAGGCACACACCAGATGGCACTGCGCCCTTCCACTGCTCCTCTGCGTGTCCCGTTGCCGTCTCCTCTAGAGTCCCCTCTTCCTGTCCTTGCTGACCCGGAGTCTGACTCTTTTCGTGCTGCTAGTCCTACTGTCACGCGTCTCCTGGCCACCGTTGTCACTGACCCTTCCTTTGAGTCCACTGCTGCGTCTGCCTTAGTTGCTGAGCTTGTCGACTTTGCTGCTCGCTGTCGTCTAGACTACGCCACTAGTCTCGTTGCTGAGTCTGAGTCTGTCTGTCCTCCGTCCGTTGGGGGTGAGTGTGCTCTTAGCACGGACGTCCTTGAGGACACGCAGGAGGAGTTCCAGTGTTTTGCTGCTACTTTGCCTCATCTCGTGTCCACGCTGATTGCCCCTGAGGGAGACCCGGATGCACCAGACATCCCGACTCCTTGATCGTACGCTGAGGCGATTGAGGGTCCCTACTCCTCTCAGTGGCAGTCAGCCATGGACGCAGAGATGGCTTCCTGGAAGTCCACAGGCACCTACGTCGACGAGGTTCCCCCACCTGGGGCGAACATCGTCAGTGGCATGTGGATTTTCAGGGTGAAGCGGCCGCCGGGTTCTCCGCCTGTCTTCAAGGCGCGTTACGTGGCTCGAGGCTTCAGTTAGCGGCAGGGAGTTGACTATTTTCGGACCTTCTCTCCCACCCCGAAGATGACCACTCTTCGGGTGCTGCTGCACATAGCCGCTCAGCGTGACTACGAGCTTCACTCTCTTGACTTCAGCACAGCTTTCTTGCAGGGCAGCCTGCACGAGGAGATCTGGCTGCGCCGCCCACCTGGCTTCACTGGGTCGTTTCCTCCTGGTACCCAGTGGAGCCTCCGGTGGCCAGTCTACGGTCTCCGCCAGGCGCCCCGTGAGTGGCACGACACACTGAGGACTACACTTGCGGCTCTTGGGTTTGCTCCTTCTACAGCCGACCCGTCGCTGTTTCTGCGCACCGACACCTCTTTGCCGCCGTTCTACATCCTCGTGTACGTCGACGACTTGGTCTTTGCCACTGCTGACACTGCTGGACTCGCCCACGTGAAGTCCGAGCTGCAAAAGAGACATACGTGCACAGACCTGGGTGAACTGCGCAGCTACCTTGGCTTGCAGATCACCCGGGACAGAGCACGCCGCACCATTACCCTGACTCAGTCACACATGGTGCAGCAGGTCCTTCAGCGCTTCGGCTTCACATACTCCTCGCCTCAGGCCACTCCTGTGCCTACTCGCCACTCGCTCTCAGCTCTGCCTTCGGATGAGTCCGTAGAGCCGAGTGGCCCGTACCCAGAGCTTGTTGGCTGCCTCATGTACCTGATGACCTGCACTCGACCTGACCTTGCATACCCTCTTAGCTTCTTGGCACGCTATGTTGTTTTTGGGAGACACCGACCAGAGCACATGGCTGCAGCGAAGAGGGTGTTGCGCTACTTGTGCAATACGTCGGGCATGGGGCTAGTGCTTGGAGGGCGACGTCGAGTGGTCCTCACAGGTCACGCTGACGCTTCTTGGGCTGACGACCAGGCTCTACAGCGGTCGTCACAGGGTTACACCTTCAGCCTTGGCTCCGGCTCTGTTCCGTGGCGGTCTACCCGCTCGTCTTCTGTTCTCAGCTCCAGCTGTGAGGCTGAGATCTACGCGGGGGCCATGGCTGCACAGGAGGTACGCTGGCTCACCTACCTGCTGACTGACCTAGGAGAGCCGCCTCGTTCTCCTCCAGTTCTGTACGTAGACAACAAGGCCATGCTGGCCTTGTGTCGGGAGCACAGACTGGAGCACAGAATGAAGCACATTGCTCTTCGCTACTTCCTTGCTCGTGAGCTGCAGCAGCGTGGTCAGCTGCGCCTAGCTTAGGTGGCCTTTGAGGCCAACACTGCTGATATTTTCACCAAGGCATTTCCGCCTTGTGATCATCAGCGCTTCTGTACGATGTTAGGTCTTGTGCCTACTTGGCCTCACTTGCTCACTTCTTGACCTTGCTTGTACTGTGATCTTTCTATACCTGCACTTGCTTGTTTACCTTTATATATGATCTTGCATGTGAACTGGCCTTTTGGCCTTGCTCTTGTGCTCGGAGTGTGTGGTGACTTTGTGATCCACCCTGAGCTTGCTTTGCTTTGCTTGACTAGTCTTGTGACCTCTTGTTCTCCCCCACTTTGCCTATGGGGGTGTGTCAAACTTATATCCTATGCTATAGTCTGTGTAGGCTGTAGTGGGGTAGACAATATGGGGTACAACACTTCTAGGTTTTCCTACTTGTACCCACCTCCTTGCTAGTTCATTCATTCCTCAATTCTCACAGCAAGGGAGTAGAGACCGAAGCTGTGTGTGTGAGACTTGGAGTGCGAGTGATCTGATAAGTGACCAGAATGAGAGATGACTGGTTGGGTGCAACACCAAGGGTTGATATGGTGACATGGTTATGGTCTTTTCGTTTCCCAAGGTACAGTACAGTATCTCCATAATCCCTTTACTGCATAGATTTGGCAAATCCACCACTGATTCAAGTGAACTCCAGGAAAAACCATTCCGCATGCAGAGAATGAATGATGGTGACACGATGGTAGCATTCTAAGTGGACCTAGGTGTTGTTCAGTAACCTGGCATACTTTGATAGGAGTGGCGTAACAGGTTCAAAGAGGGTGGTTCTTCGATGATAACGAGATCCAAATAAATAAGTTAAAACTAGGACCCCTGAATCACCCGGGGTGATGACCTGTGAAATCATCGTAATTTGAATGTTGGAGGGAAATGGTGGTGGGGCGGTGGTATGCCCCCAACCCACCGAGGGCACTTCGGTGCCTTCAATCCCTTTGACTAGGAATCGGTGGGGTGGCACCGATTGACTTCGGGAGACTCACCCTTCGGTGCCACGTGGCGGCACCATATTCCAACCTTGGAGTTGAAGTCACATTCGGTGTGTTCGGTGAAATTCGGTGGTCGAATTTCACCCAACCGAAATTGTTACACGCGGCACACTAGCGACACGAAATGTAGCGACTCGATGTTACACATGCGGTTCGATATAATTGAGTCGCTATAAATTGTGATTACTTTGTATGCATGAGATATATTGAAATCCTGAATCATCTTGTACATGGTCCATTCGAACCAAAATTCCAGAGAGGTCTATCCTTGCTTCTAAGAGCACTAGCAATCACGTAAACGCCAATATCTCGGCGTATACTTGGGCGATTAACGTGTTTGACGGCTCGTTGGAAAGCCGACGCTGTGCTCTATCGTTTAGTACAACTTAGAGTCCCTGCCAACTAGAGGACACGCCTCTACGTCACTGAACAAAAGAGGGGTGTCGGGGGAAAACAGCGCCATTGTGTGTAAATCAGACACTTTGAAGTGAGAAATGCCGAAACTCTTCCACGGTAGCTGGGCCAGGATCAAGTCCCGAAAGACCTATTCTTGGGCGAAAGACGATAGAACCTTGGAAAAAGAGAGGCACGAGACTACTGTCCCCCTAGCTAGCAATGTTCGCCGCTGATTGTACACGTAGCTGTGAAGATGCACCTCGAAATTTGAGAGATTTTGCACGCGCCTCGGTGATTCGAATCTGCGTGCGACACTGCGAGCTGGTTTGTGGGTTTCACTGCACCTCTGGCGTTTACACATGATGCCCGCGAAACGGCCCACTTTCAACACGCCCACAGACAACCGACAGGAGCAGCGGTCAAACATAAAACGCCAACATAACCAGCCAACGGCCCACAGCCTACACGCCCATGACAAAACCCCCAAAATTTGACCAAGAATAAGTTAGCCAAATCACCCACGCAAAACACTCGAGGCTACCCAAGATTTCAGAACTGTAGTTCAAATTGTAACCACACTCCTACGAACACGCCCAATTTGCCCCTGATTGACGCGAGTGCGAGACAGGAGCAAAATGAAAAATGGGGAAGGGGAGTGAAAGGGGCATCATGTGCAAGGTGTGGAACTGCAAGACTTTCAAGAACGTGAACTGTACAGTGCCAATGACAACGCCGATGCCATTGGACCCCCAGTGATTCCGCGGGACCGTCATGACTGCATGACAGTTAGTCCGCTTGTTTTCACTGCAACAGCCATAGCATCTACGCAAGTGGGAGTGCAGGACTTTCAAGGAGTTTGTACGAGACATCAAAAGCAATCTATATTAGGGGGCTACACCTGTCCTGAGTTAACAGCATGCATACATACAAGTAACCTAAATCAGATAGAAAGGAATCCTCAATCGGGGAACTCATTACAAACTACAGATTCAGTCTCCTACAGACTCCCACCTCCCACACAGACATCTCTGCATCCACGGGACACCATCCTCCTCCCAACTGCCCAATGCCCACCTCGCCCTCATCTGGGCCGCCCCTGATCCTCTCCATTTGCACAGCCGAGGCGTGTGCCTAAGGACAAAGAGAGGGGCAAGGGAAAGAATGGAGGGTGCCTGTACCACTACTCATCTAATTGGTTGCTGAGAATTCTCAAAACCAACGTTATCGCAACTCGTCTGTCACAACCCTTTGCTTATCTTCTTCCGCCACGAGTCCCTCGTTTCGAGGCGATCCCTCGAGCATTTAACCAACTCCGACTCTCTCTCGAACGGCCCTCTATACATCTGTCAAAAAAATACCGCTGTCCTCTTCTTCCATGAGCCAATCGAGCTTCGCATCTAGCGCATTCTGACTGAAACCCCCAGAAAGCCCATCCCCAGACTCCCCACCCTGCTGCTCTCCAGCCCCCCCACCGCCGGCAGCACCGGCGGTGTCACCATCCCCGCCCGTCCCTGCGTTTGCCGGCAGGGCAGGGCGCGGGTGGGCGGAGAGGGAGCGCTTGAGAGCCTTGATGGAGCGGAGCAGGTCGGTGACAGTGGGGCGGGAGAGGGGGTCGGAAGCGGTGCAGGAGAGGGCGAGGTGCACCATGGGCAGCACGATGGCGTCGGGTGCTGAGGGCAGGTGGGCGGCGCGCAGGCTGGCCGTGATGTTGCGAGTTATTAGGTGATGTGCCTGCACAGGGATGGGATTTATTGACGTGTTTGGCGGGAATAGGTGGAATGGAATGGGTGCGTGAGAGTTTGTTATGGATACATAGAAGCGAATGCGCTGGTGTCATGGTGTGGCGCGGCGTGGTGTGGCGGGTGCGTATTAAGTTGAGTTGTTCAGAAAAACTCACCGGCAGAAGCAGTCAGTGAAGCATGAAGGTGCATGGTGCATTGGCATTTAGAGAGTGGGAGCCCAAGTGCGGTGTGCGGTTCGCTTTGCAGAGACAACGAGAAGTAAATCCCTTGGAGTCCACACCACACCGCACGCACTCACCCAGTCCCGAATGTGCACTGAGGTGCTGCTGGCACTATAGCCGCTGCTCATACTGCTGCTGCTGTGGCTTCCCGTGCCGATGCTGTTGCTACTATGGCTGCCTGTGTTGATGCTGTTGCTACTATGGCTGCCCGTGCTAATGCTGTTGCTACTATGGCTGTCTGTGCTGATGCTGTTGTTGCTGTTGCTGCTACTGCCACCACTGCTGGAGCCAGAGCTGTTGCCTTGCCGATTGTTGCCTACAGCTATGGGGATCAAGGCTGGCCGTCCAGTGATGAGCTGCAGCATCACCACACCAATGCTGGGGGGGTGGGGGGATGGAGAAGAAAGTAGGGGCAGGAGGAGGGAAGAGAGAGAGGCATTTCGGTTCGGCTGGTGCAGCCAGCAAGCACGTGCAGTCAGCAGCAGAATATATGGTTCCTGTATTGGTGCAGGGCCTAACAGGTTAGCAACATCTGGTTTCTCGCACAGTGTAAGCTATAGGAGAGAAGGAGGTGGGGGGAGGAGACGGGAAGAGTGAGGGGACAGGGAGAGGTGTGTCAATGGGTGTGGGAGAAACACAGTTGTGAAGCCTTGTCCAAAGTGGATACAAATGTGTGAGTAGGAGTTGAGTTGAGCTGAGCAGCACAGCACGGACCTGAAAACGTCCGTGGTGGGCGTGGTGCGAGCAGAGGCATGCAGGATTGGGTCCATGTATGCATGGCTGGCAGGTAACCGTACTGCTGGTGTGACTGATGCCGCTGCTGATGCGGATAGTGATGCTGGTGGTGCAGGTGCGGGGATGGATGGAAGTGGGTCGCCCATTTTCACGGCCGTGCAACCAGCCAGGACAGCCTGAGGAGAAGGAACGGGGATGGGGTGGTGTGCGAGATGAGGAGCAAGAAGCAGCGTGAATGCAGGGGTCAAGGGAGAGGCGCAGCTGATGGCTGGAGGGATGAGGTGGGATGAGTTGGGAGTATGGGAAGAAGCGAAGGGTGTGTGGCAGAAGAATAAAGTGTCACTGCAGCTACGTGTCACTGCACCTACGTGTAACGTCACCTGCCCGGCAGACGGGAGTTCACGCAGGGCAAATAGGAGTTCACCTGCAGGGCAGATGGAGTTCACCTGCTGCAGGGCAAATAGGAGTTCACCTGCTGCAGGGCAAATAGGAGTTAACCTGCTGCAGGGCAAATAGGAGTTCACCTGCTGCAGGGCAAATAGGAGTTCACCTGTGTAGGGCAAATAGGAGTTCACCTGCTGCAGGGCAAATAGGAGTTCACCTGCTGCAGGGCAAATAGGAGTTCACCTGCTGCAGGGCAAACAGGAGTTCACCTGCTGCAGGGCAAATTGGAAATCACCTGCAGGGCAGATGGAGTTCACCTGCAGAGCAGATACACTTCACCTGTGTGTCACTCAGCGCGTCACCTGCAGCGCGGAGTCTAGCAGGATGTTGCGTGGGTGTATGCGGCCATGCACGACCCCATGGCTCTGGATGTGCTTCAGCCCTCGCAGCACACCCGCGGTCACATCCAGGCACTGCCACACCGACAGAGGCGAGCAGCCCTCTTCATGGCGGGAGGCGGAGGGGGGCAGAGGGGAGTAGAGGCAAGCAGAGGGAAGCAGGGTGAGGCACAAGGAAGACGAGGGGAGCAGGAAGGGGCAAAGGAGGGAAGAGGGGAGTAGAGGGGAGCGATGAACCCAGAGCACATGAGTGTCTTTGTTGACCGAACGGAAGTGGTGTGGAGTGATGAGTTCGCAACTGGTTGTTGAGATTTCCCACAAAAATCCAGTGTGAGGAACGTAGGATTGGCACTAACGCAAAACGTGGAGCGGGCGTGTGCGTTTGTGTGTGTGAGTGGATGCACCTGCAACGAGGCGGCTGTGCAGGTTGCCTCCTGGCACCCACTCAAACACTAGCACCTGCTCCTCTGCTTGCTCCAGAGCATGAACGGAAGCGGCAGGAGCAGAATAGGCAATAGCCTTCTCAGCACCAGTACTCTTGGTGCTATCAGCACTGCCAGGTTTCTCCCAACAGTAACCCAGCAGTCGCTGCAGGTTGGTATGGCGGATGGACCAAAGCGTGGCCACCTGGGCAGAGGAAGAAACACCCAGAATAGAGAGCTTAAAAGGGCAAGATATAAGGGGTACAGCATGGTACTCGCATTGGCACCAAACCGGTCGCAACAGCAGCCGCGCCATCAGTAGTGGCAGAAGCAGCAGCAGCAGCAGCGGAGAACCATCCCCAGCTCGCTCACCTCTTTCTGAAAGTCTGTGGAAAGCTCGTCGTTGCCGCGCCTCACTACGAACCACACCTGGCGGGCATCGAGAGGACTCACTACCTTGTACCTCTGCCCTCCACTGCTGCTGCTGCCAATAATGCTGCTAGTGGTGCTGTTGCTGATGCTGCTCCACCCCTGCTTCTCCAACCAGTTGACCTCACTCCACCCACCCGTTGCATGTGCCACGAGAGACACGGGGAACTTTGGACAGCGGGCGCGACCGAAGACACGGGATGCTGACGGGGGGGAAGGAGAGGGGGAGAGAGAAGAGAGAGGGGATAGGGGAGTGAAAGTAGGAAGGAAAGCGAGTGGGGAACACCGGAAACAATTAGGAAGGAAAGCGAGTGGATAGGGGATAGGGGAGTGAAAAGAGAGAGGGGATAGGGGAAAGAGAGAGGGGATAGGGGAGTGAAAGTAGGAAGGAAAGCGAGTGGGAAAGGAGAGTGCCTTCTGCAAAGCGGGACTCTGGCAACACCGGAAACAATGATCGTGGCTTGCTGTAGCAGTGGTTGCAAGAGCAGTAGTGTGTGGGGCGCAATGCAGAGCACTGTGTGGCGGAATGATAACCACAATGGCATCAAAGGAGGAACTATGAGGGCACCTTCAACAGCAGAGGAGGCTGCGGAAGGAGAAGCAGCAGTGGCAGAGGCAGTAGCAGCAGTGGAAGCGGTAGTAGCAGCAGTTGCAGCAGCCGTGGAAGGTGGGGCAGCAGTGTGTTGTTGATAGGAAAGCAGATGATGAGAGATGACGGGAAAGCAGAAGAAACGGCCGCCAGACCAGACGACACCCTTACACAGATGAGGCGAGGCACCAAAAGTGGCACGTACCCCTTAGTGCCAGCCAGCCATGCCACACACATACTTCTTGGAGTTGTGGCACGGTACAGAACTTGATCTTACCTGAGGCAGCTAGTAATGGCTGCTGTTTCGATCCCTGGGGCCCCCCTCTCACATACGCAGCAGCTACGACAGCGGCAGCAGCAGCAGCAGCCACAAGCAAAAACGCTCCCAAGGATATTCCCACGATTGCAGAGGTTGACAAACCGGTGTAGGGTGGAGGAGCAGGAGGAGGGGCGAGCGGAGAGGAGACAGCAAGAAGGGATGACAGAGGTGGGGGTGGGGGGCCTATGAGTGCGAGGCTGGGAGGGAGAGGAGGTGAGAGGGGTGGTGGAGGAGGAGGGTGGCGGCGTTGGCCTGTGGGGAGAGAAGGGGGGAGGGAAATGGGGCGTGGAGGGATTGTGGAGAAGGAGAGCAGCAGTTGATATGGCGAGCTGTGGTGGCAAGATGACTGTCAGGTGGGAAGATGACTATCAGGTGAAAATGTAGATATCACATGGAGCAAGGTGGCTATGAGAAAGCATCACGAACGGGCACGAAGGAACATGAGGGGCCTTTTAAATTTGAAAGCCGAGTCACACATGCAAGCAGAAAGACAAAAAATCACTTTTTCACCGTTGATTGGGATGCAGGAGGCACAGAAGTCAAAGCAGAGAACCCGGCAGAAGAGGGAGGAGGCGTTCTGCTGAATCTCACAGCTGCTGCCAGACCTGCCGCATGTCACCCCTGCAGAGGTGATTCTGAACAGGGGAAGATGTTAGGGGAGCAAGAAAAAGTGTGGAGTCTTGCAGAAACGACAGCAAAGGCAGGAATGACGAAGGACTGGTCTACGTATTATATGTGGAACGAGCATGTTTCCACGTTGGTGCTCTGCCTTTGGTGACGTACCTGTGCTGTGCACCTGTGGTTCTGTTCAGCTCATTCTGGTCATGAAAGGACCAAACGTGGCATTCATACGGAGTTGGGGCGCCGAGGATTAAAGAACTGAGGCGGAATGTATTTGGCTTACCAAAAAGAGCAATGGGTTTTTTTTTAATGTAAAAAGGGGTGAAATCCTGGAGTCAGTGTAGAGATGGAGAGATGGATGGGGGGGGGGAGGGGATGGAATCCAGGAAACTGACGCTTCTGTGATTTTGGGGAGAGCACCAAGGGAGGCTGGCAGCGACCCAGACAAGTTGGTGTTGGCGATGCTCCTGAGACAGGGCGGTTGTGAGGTGAGTGACAGACGGAACAGGACAGGCAGATGGGGTGAGCAGGTGGGCTAACTGGGGGCGATTCAAGATGGCATACTGATAAGAATCGTAACATGAAGTGGTGAATGGAACATATTATAAGGTAGTTGTGTAAATAAGTTGGCGTTTTTTATTTTCCTTTTTGTTGTTTCTTGAAGTTTCCTAGTTGCCTGAGATGGTATGGAGGAAAGGGGAAGGGCTTGGGCAGGGGTGCTTCCGACCTGAGGTGTACACATCGTGCTGTAGTGATACGAGTACGCCCATGTGTGTGTGCTTGCGTGCGTGCGTGTGTGTGTGTGCGTGTGTGCGCGTGCGCGTGCGTGCTCGTGCTTGTGTGCGTGCGTGCGTGCGTGCGTGTGTGCATGCATGCATGCATGGTGCGGGTGTGCGTGTATGAGAACCCTGGCATGCACACAGCCCCTCCCACATACAAGTACACGAGATTGGCGAGCTGACCAATAGTACCGGGGATTGTGCCGCTGAGGCGAGTGTTGGACACGTCACTGGTATGCAGCGCATTCCCATGTGGAGTGGAAGGGATGCCACATGTATGCACGGTCGTATGCAGAGAAAAATGGGAGGGCAGACAACAAGGCATGCAATTGGTGGGATGATATGATGATTATTTTGAATCCAGAGGCTGCTTTTGGTTTTGCTGCTGTTGGTTATGAAAATGGTGGGAGTTACGGGGGGTGAGAGGAGGAGGAGGAGGAGGAGGAGGAGGAGGAGGAGGAGGAGGAGGAGGAGGAGGAGGAGGAGGAGGAGGAGGAGGAGGAGGAGGAGGAGGAGGAGGAGGAGGAGGAGGAGGAGGAAGAGGAGGAGGAGGAGGAGGAGGAGGAGGAGGAGGAGGAGGAGGAGGAGGAGGAGGAGGAGGAGGAGGAGGAGGAGGAGGAGGAGGAGGAGGAGGAGGAGGAGGAGAGGAGGAGGAGGAGGAGGAGGAGGAGGAGGAGGAGGAGGAGGAGGAGGAGGAGGAGGAGGAGGAGGAGGAGGAGGAGGAGGAGGAGGAGGAGGAGGAGGAGGAGGAGGAGGAGGAGGAGGAGGAGGAGGAGGAGGAGGAGGAGGAGGAGGAGGAGGAGGAGGAGGAGGAGGAGGAGGAGGAGGAGGAGGAGGAGGAGGAGGAGGAGGAGGAGGAGGAGGAGGAGGAGGAGGAGGAGGAGGAGGAGGAGGAGGAGGAGGAGGAGGAGGAGGAGGAGGAGGAGGAGGAGGAGGAGGAGGAGGAGGAGGAGGAGGAGGAGGAGGAGGAGGAGGAGGAGGAGGAGGAGGAGGAGGAGGAGGAGGAGGAGGAGGAGGAGGAGGAGGAGGAGGAGGAGGAGGAGGAGGAGGAGGAGGAGGAGGAGGAGGAGGATGAGGAGGAGGAGGAGGAGGAGGATGAGGAGGAGGAGGAGGAGGAGGAGGAGGAGGAGGAGGAGGAGGAGGAGGAGGAGGAGGAGGAGGAGGAGGAGGAGGAGGAGGAGGAGGAGGAGGAGGAGGAGGAGGAGGAGGAGGAGGAGGAGGAGGAGGAGGAGGAGGAGGAGGAGGAGGAGGAGGAGGAGGAGGAGGAGGAGGAGGAGGAAGAGGAGGAGGAGGAGGAGGAGGATGAGGAGGAGGAGGAGGAGGAGGAGGAGGAGGAGGAGGAGGAGGAGGAGGAGGAGGAGGAGGAGGAGGAGGAGGAGGAGGAGGAGGAGGAGGATGAGGAGGAGGAGGAGGAGGAGGAGGATGAGGAGGAGGAGGAGGAGGAGGAGGAGGAGGAGGAGGAGGAGGAGGAGGAGGAGGAGGAGGAGGAGGAGGAGGAGGAGGAGGAGGAGGAAGAGGAGGAGGAGGAGGAGGAGGAGGAGGAGGAGGAGGAGGAGGAGGAGGAGGAGGAGGAGGAGGAGGAGGAGGAGGAGGAGGAGGAGGAGGAGGAAGAGGAGGAGGAGGAGGAGGAGGAGGAGGAGGAGGAGGAGGAGGAGGAGGAGGAGGAGGAGGAGGAGGAGGAGGAGGAGGAGGAGGAGGAGGAGGAGGAGGAGGAGGATGATGATGATGATGATGATGATGATGATGATGATGATGATGATGAGCATCATCATCATCATCATCATCATCATCATCATCATCATCATCATCATCATCATCATCATCATCATCATCATCATCATCATCATCATCATCATCATCATCATCATCATCATCATCATCATCATCATCATCATCATCATCATCATCATCATCATCATCATCATCATCATCATCATCATCCAAGCAAGAATTACCAGCCAGGGTTCAGAGTGTGTGCACCATACTCTATTGGACTAGTAGTGAGAAGGCAGGTTGCATGTAGATTTGGTATCCTGATCTGATTCGGTTGGTCGGACTACCATCCCATCTCTTTTGTCCCCTGTATGCTATGCTAAGCAGTCAATTCAAGCTCGTTCTGTAACATGAGAGGCAAGCAAATGTCACAATGGCAGCGTGGTGACTTTTGAGTCGACTCAAAAGTCACCTCGTTACAAATGTCACAATGGCAGCGTGGCAGTAGCACAACCAGCAAAGAAGAATCCAAACGCAGGTTCAGGCATGGCACGACACAAAACTGTCACGTCAGGGATGGGAGGGAGATAGGGAGGGCAGGGCGCTGACAAGTAGGTGAGAGAGGAGAGGGCGGAGATGATGGAGGGGATGGATCCTGAAATGCTGGTGTTGGTCAGCGTCCTGTTGGAGGGCCATGGGGGGTGTGGAGCAAAGAGAGAGGAGGGGGTGGAGGAATGGAAGAGGGACGAAATCAAAGGTATATGTGTGAATGGGGAGGGGGAAAGAAAGAGTGGAGAGTGAGATTGGCAGGGAGGAATGCATGTGGTTGGTATGGAGTGAATGCACAAGGAACTAGTTGGTCGTGGATCATTGACACTTGTGCTGTTGACCACATACATGCATGGCATGGCAGCAGCACACTTGGACAGCAGCACACTTGGGCAGCAGCACACTTGGGCAGCAGCACACTTGAGCAGCAGTGCCCATGCGCAACAGCACTCGTGCAAAGTTACAGAGTTTGGAGGTTCTTGAGTGCCCCGATGGTGGAGGGAATGGGCCCAGAAATCCGGGTGTCGCCAAGGTTCCTGCCACGTGACATGTGGCATGTGACATGTGGCTTGGTTGAGACGCGATGAGACATGTATGTGACACGTGACATGCAACGTGTGGGATGTGCCATGTGCCATGTGGCATGTGACATTGATGAAGGTGTTCGTCAGGGGGTTAGATGCAATGTTGTGAATGCAGCTTTTCTAATCAAGACAAAGGGGGGTATATGGCAGAACAAAACGGAGCAGAGGTGTCAGCAATATTTCCATGAGACTCTGTAGAACATTTCATCACAGCTTAACAATTTTGGGACTGAAAAGATACTGCGGTGTCAAGAGTGATAATTACAGGTTAGCGAGCAGGGAGAGCCGTGAGATGACAGGGGGGATAGGCCCATAGAAATGATTCATGGAGAGATCACTGCAGATAGGGCGGAGGGCAGAGGGCAGAGGGCGGACGGCAAAGGGCAGGGCAGCAGGCAGTGGGCAGTGGGTAGAGAGCAGAGAGAACGACATTGGGTTAGAAACATGGCCGCAGTAGATGTATTTACAAGGTCGCAGGGTAAAGTATTTGTAAAACGAATAATAAGAAAGACTTGTCTGTACCTTTCATCACCATCCTCCCTGCCTGCTCTGCACTGCACTGAACCGCACTGCACCACTCTGCACTATACAGCACCATGCTGCATTGCACTGCACTTCCTCTCTTTTATGTCCCTCCACCCTCTCGCTCTCTGCAGTGCATTGTTGAGAAGCTCAAAGAACTGAGTGTGGCGAGTTTTGCAGTGTCCCAAAGCACGCACGCACGGGGAGAGGAGAGGGGTGGCAGTGTGAAACGCACAAGTAATTGAGCGCGGTGAGGTTGGAGATGCTGGTGGGGATGGTGCCGTTCAGATTTAAGATTCCAATGAACCTGCGACCATGGTGAGAAGCACAAGGTGTTGCCCGTGGGCCGGCAGACAAGAAGGCGTGTTGCTTTTGAGAATTCTCAAAGGAGGGGAGGGAGGACGATGCCATGGACCGGACCTAAACGCATTCCCCCCGAAAGGGAGGGGCAGCCCGGGCAACGAGTCATAAGAGGGAGCGAGGACACTCACCACACCCCTTCGAGCTGGACGACAAACACAACCGAATCCCAACCACCCCGGGTCAGGTCGATTTTGAGAAGTCTCAGAATCAACCTCAGGACTCCCAACCCAACATCCTGGCCAACACAAATCGGGCTGCGTCAGCGCCCAAACAATCCCAACCCAGAAATCAAACACCCTGGCGAATTGGCCTCCTGCCAAGATTTGTTCACCGGTGTCGCCACGCCAACCTGACCGGGACGGGACGTTGTGCCATGCCACGCCACAACGTGACAGTCGCCTCGCCGCCACCCTGCGTTAGTCTGACACCCTTCTTGCGCTATTTGCGAGGCCCTCGCAGTCAGCCTGCTGAGGACGCGGCACATGTTTTCATTTTGCCAGGATCGGGGGAGGATCGGGGGCTCACATCGATCGTGGCACATTGATCGGCACACCGATGTGCCCACGCTGCAAATTTGCAGTGGGGTAGACACATCGAGCTATAGGTGCCAGGATCGAAATTGCAGGGTCGGGCAGGTTGGAGCTGCGTCGGAATACACCAACACACTGCAACGCGCAGGCAATCAGGGCAGAGCGTGGTTGGTCACCCAGCAATTTCAT